GAAGGTATTTGGAATTATTTCTTAGGATGAGATGGTACCTTCGACCCCCCTTCACCCCCTATGTTTCTCTCCCCTACCTTCCTTCCTTGAGTGACCTACAGTATTTAGTGGTTGCGGAGGTGTGACATGTGTTTCTTCTTGTGGTAACTGACCAGTGAGTCCCATGTGATAAAGTTGGATTCCATTGTGATTCAGAGACTGATGCCGTCTTAAGTTTCTTAATGGCAATGCTTATTTTTATCATTTACTTTTCACTTAGGTGCGACACTGTGGCTCAGTTGCTAAAGCATTGGCCTTTGAGCCTGAAAGTTGTGGGTTCAATGCCCTCTCAAATCCTACTCCAACTGCTCCCACTCATATCAGCTGTCACTGTGTCCTTGGGCAAGATACTTAACTAGGGATGTACCGATCCGATATTCAGTATCTGATACGTAGATACAGCTTCTATAATCATGACGGAGGCTCGGTAGTTTTACTGAACTTTCTTGTTCAGGTTTATTGAACAAAACACAGCGGCAAGTGACAACTTTTGCTGATTCACATTTTTTTAGTTAAGATGGTTTCATAAATCTAGAACAGATCCTGTTTTCACCCTTCACAATAAAACAATTCCGTTTCTTCAAATTAAAACCATATGGCACTTTTTTTACCGTACCTTGTAATTTGGAAATACGATTATAATTATGTTACAACTAATAATCAATGTTTAATGTCTAGAACTAAATAAGTCACAACATCCTCCCGCCCAATGAACAACTGTTCATACGTATTAAATTGACCTTTAACCTATTTCTAATGGGTATAATAACTGAACAGGCCTTCTTAACACGCTACCTGTAGAAGTGCAAACATTACATGAACGTATGAGGCCATCTCTGCCTGGAAAGACCTCTATGAGTCTACCCATCTTCCATGTCTGTCTGGGTGTGTTGTCCTCCCCAATGAGAACAACATCTCCTACTTTAAGTGCTGTTGGAGTAGGCGTGTCCACTTTGTGAGCGGATTTCAAGTCCAATAGATAGTCTCTGCGCCAGCTGTTCCAAACGCTGGTCAAAAGTCTCTGCCGGTATTTCCACCTTTTACCAAGCTCCTCACGGTTTGCTGTGAGCACCTGAGCTGGAGAAAGAAAAGTCTTTGGTGGCAAGGAAGTCAGGCGTTTACCAACCAGGAAGTGTGAAGGGGTAAGTGGCTGGGGCTCTAATACATCACTATGTACATACGACAGAGGCCTAGAATTCAACACTGCCTCAACCTCAGTAAGTACAGTTGTGAGTTCCTCAAAGCTCAAAGAGGCTTTTCCCAGTACCTTCTTTAAGCATGTTTTAACAGATCTCACAAGCCTTTCCCAGAAGCCCCCCCACCAGGCAGCCCGCTCAGCAATGAACTTCCAGGTGATCCCTTTCTCAGTAAAAAACTCTGTGAGCTTTGAACCTTTAATATTTTGCCATAACTCCTTTAAATCTTTGTCTGCTCTTTTGAATGTTTTAGCATTATCAGAGTAAATGATCTTACATAGCCCTCGTCTTGCAATGATTCGCTTTAAGGCTAATAGAAAGTTCTCTGTAGTCTGATCTGAAACCAACTCCAAATGTACTGCTCTTGTTACTGCACATGTAAACAGCGTGATGTATGCCTTTACTGGCTGCCCCTTAGATCTAACATACAAGGGTCCTGCAAAATCTACACCAGTAACTTCAAAAGGAGGTGACTCAGTTACTCTATCTCGAGGTAAAGGAGCGGTAATCTGCTTTGCTGCTTTAACCTTAAGTTTTCTGCAAATGTAACAACTTGAAACAATGCGTTTTACAAGCTGTCTCCCTCTCAAAATCCAGTAATGTTCTCTGAGTTGAATCAATGTATCTCGTACACCAGAATGCATCACCTTTTCATGACATGAATGAACCAATAGCTCAGAGTACTTGTGATTTGTTGGTAGTACCCAGGGGTGCTGTTCTCTGAAACTAAAATCAGAGTGCTGTAGTCTTCCCCCAACACTTAGTAGACCATTTTCATCTAAGAATGGTTTCAAGTCCTTGATTTTAGAGTCTCTTTTCACATTTAGTTTTGACTTTAGCTGGGATATTTCAGAGCTAAAACAACGCTCTTGCGTAGCCTTTACCCAGTACATTTCAGATGCAATCAGCTCTTCTGAGGTTAACTCTCCCTGAACCTTTTGACAAGACCTTGTGTTAGTTACAAAGCGTTTTACCCATGCAGTGATTCTTAACACAGTCTTAAGCCTGCTGTACTTTTCTAAGTTCAGCAGAGGTACCGTTTGTTCAGTGCTAGTGAATTGTACAACAGTCTGATACTTAGATTTCAGTTCAGTGTTTACCTCATTCACCACATTGTCATCATCAATGTCCAGCTCCCTTTCAGCTGTGGACAGTGAAGCTGGTCCGCTCCACCACAACTGGCTCTCAATAAGACTCTGTGCATGCTGACCTCGTGTAGGTAAGTCAGCAGGATTCATTTTACCAGCACAGTGGGACCACGTCTCCGGGTTTGTGAGCCCTTGTATTTCAGTCACTCTGTTGGCCACAAAAGGCTTCCACCGCTGGGCTGAGCTGCGGATCCAGTGAAGAGTGATCATCGAGTCCGTCCACATTTGAAGTTGGCTCTTCTCCATGTTCAGTGGTTTGAGAAGACTGTGTCCTAATCTTGCTCCAATAAGTGCACCCATAAGCTCCAGGCGAGGTAATGTCATTTTCTTTAGGGGTGCGACTCGCAACTTAGAGGCCACAAAGCTTGTAACAGTCTCTCCTTGTTTGTTTTTTCCTTGTAGATATGACACAGCACTGTAAGCCTTTTCACTTGCGTCACAGTAGACATGCAACTTTACCGTGTGTGACTCTTGCTGGATCTCAATGTGGTACCACCTGGGAATAGCCACCAGGTGGAGCAGTGGTAGCTCCATACACCACTGTTCCCATTTTTCAGTCAAATCAATGGGTAATGGTTCATCCCAACTGAGCCCTCTCTCCCACATTTCTTGGAATAGGCACTTCACTCTGACAGTAAAGGGAGTGAGAAACCCAATGGGGTCAAATATGCGAGCCGATGTTTTTAGAACACTTCTCTTTGTGTTTTCTTTGTCCCGTAAAATGTCAATGAGTCCCTTTTGATCAAACACAAAATCATCTCTCTCTGGTCTCCAAACGAGTCCTAGCACTTTGAGCACATTTCCACAGGACTCTGTATCTCCAGTCAACTCTACTCCAGTCTCTTTCCACATGGCTCTCAGGTCAGGTGAGTTGGTAACCCATTTGCAGAGGTCCATGCCTGCCTGAGAGAGAATGTCTTTTGCTGTTGTTGTCACATGTAGAGCTTCCTGCACAGTAGGTGAGCTTGAAATAAAGTCATCTACATACAGAGAGTCACTGAGGATCTGTACTGCCTTTGGTTGTTCTGTGTCAAATAGTTTGAGGTGTTTTCTGATGGTGGCAGCAAGCAGGAATGGGCTGGGAGCCACTCCGAAAACCACTCTGTTCATTCTCAGGACACATACCTCATTCTTGCAGTCTTTGGTCGGTGGTCCATGCATCCACAGGAACCTAACAGCATCTTTATCCTTTTCTGCGAGGGAAATCTGAAGAAAAGCCTTGGTTATATCAGCAGTGAAGGCAATCTCATGCAACCTGAATGTGATGAGTACTTCTAGCAGGTTTGGGTTTAGATTAGGCCCTGTGTGCAAACAGTCATTGAGGGATGGGCTGTCTGCATCATGTGAGGACGCATCAAATACCACTCTCAGTTTAGTTGTGGCCTTGTCCTCTCTTACAACAGCGTGATGTGGCATGTAATATCTTACAGTCTCTTGGTTCCCTGCCACTGTTTTGTCCTCTAAAACCTCCTCACAGATCCCTTGCTGCAGGTAGTCCTGTATTACATTGTTGTACCTGGCATACAAGGCTGCATCAGTTTTTAGTTTTCTCATAAGGCTCTCAAAACGTCTCTTTGCTACCTTAAAGTTGTCTGGGAGCTGGTCTTTGTCAGATTGCCATGGTAACTCAACTTGGTAGCGTCCATTTTCTAATGTAGTAGTCTGTTCAAAGCTTTGTAAAATGTCTGAGTCCTCTGGGCTCTCCGCCTGTTTGTTTACAATGCCCAGGGACTCGACCTCCCAGAATGCATGTAACTGTTTGGAAATCTGGGTCTCTTCAGTCAAACTTATGTGCATGCAAGTGGTTTCTGTAACGCTGGAGGTAGTCACTGGCCCCTGTAAAGCCCATCCAAAAATACTCTCAACTGCCACTAGTGAATTTGTGACCTTTTGGACCTTTCCAGTGACTGCTTGCCAGTAGTAGTCTGCTCCTATTAACACCTGTAACTCTTGATCGTTAGCACCCTCTAGTGGAAAGTCTGCAAGTTGAAGCCCTCTTTTCTTTATCTCTGCTTGAATGGGCTCGCTTGGGACTTTTATCACAGCACTGCACACCTGAGGAGTCTCTACAGCTTCAATCTCAAGTCTCTGTTCAGTGTTCCACATATTCTCGAGCTCAACTCTCACAACATTGCGTTTCTCTGTTACAGGAGAGGTGGAACCAAAAACATGGAGATTTAGTGTCTCTTGCCTTACAACTGGGAGTCCTAAGGCTCTGACGACGTTTCTGTGAATGAAACTTCGCTGGCTGCCTCCATCTAATAGACAGCGTGTTATCTTCCTCTCTTTTGGTCCTACAGTCCATGTCTTAACTGTCTGAAGTAGTACTGTGTTCTGAGTATTGGTCTTCACCTTTACAGGGCTCGTCAATGACGACAACACAGCTTCTGTTTTTTCACTACTATTGGAGGTGTTAATATCTAGCTTGGCTTCAGACTGCTCACAAACTGACAAGTGGTGTTTCCGGTTGCATAAGCTGCACAAAACCTTTACTCTGCAGTATTTTGCAATGTGTTTTGGGCCTAAGCAGACATAACACCGTCCAAGTTTTCTCAGTTTATCCTTGCGTGCACTTACTGTATGGTCGGAACATTTCTCTGGTTTGTGGTCGCTACTGTCACAATACACACAGGTCCGGGGCACGGCACTGGCGGTGTGCAAGGCGTTCGCTGACGGGACACTCCACTTTCTGGGTTTATCGCAGGCGTAGGATGGCTTACCCACATTCTTGTGTTGTGGGCTCGGATCCTTCGATGCATGGCCTGGTCTGGTAAGCTGAAGCGCTCGTTCTCTGCTTTGCACCTCATTTTGTAGAACCTGAATCAACTCTGGCACCTTCCATTCGTTGGTCGCGTTTGGTTGGCTGGTGTAGGCGAGTGCGATGTCCTCCGGAATGAGCTGCAGTAGCACTGGACAAAGCAGGCAGCCGTACGTGTCACTCTGGACTCCAAGTGACTCCAAACTGCGTATCTGGATCTCACATTCATCATACAAGTGCCTCAAAGCTGTAACATCAGAAGATCTTTTAACAGGGGTTAAGTTCAGTAGTTTGGACATATGGGCACTTATCACAATGTCCTTTCTCCCAAAGCGGCTCTGGAGTAACTCTATTGCAGCATCGTAGTTGGCATCTGTCATTGTAAGCCCTGCAATAGTTCTAGCAGCTGCTCCAGTCAGGTAGGATCTGAGGTAAGTAAACTTGTCTGTCTTGCATAGTACCTCATTTCTGTGAATAGCTGTTTCATATTGTGACCAGAATTCCTGTCACTGGCTTATTTCACCATCGTACTTTGTTATCATTAGCTTAGGAAGTTTTACAGTTTGTCTGGACTGTGATGTGAATGAACCACTGCTCCCATCGCTCACGCACACTCTCGGGGTGTCTCTGATGGTTTCCTGATGCCCGATGGTGGTGGTGGCGCGAACCTTCCAAGTGAGAACGCGGCCCATGTAATCCAGTGTGCTTGAAATCTCCGTGTCCAGATCGTCCGTGGGAGTCACATCTTCTATGCCCTTGTCCAAGTCCAATAAACTGTCCTCCTTCAATGATAAAACTGCCAGAAACTCGCGTAGTTTGTCAGTATCTGGTCTTTCCTTCCCCACCTCGTCCTCTAGGCGGGTTAACAGCCTCGTCGTAGCGGCGCGAATAGTCGCCCGCTTCCTTTTCAGCCGCTCGAGTCCCTCCGTCATGACGGCTGCTAAACCAAGCCGTTAGCTGTTCACTTCATTCGAAAAAGTTCTTAAAGTCCTTACATCCCGGGTTTCGGCACCAAATGATACGTAGATACAGCTTCTATAATCATGACGGAGGCTCGGTAGTTTTACTGAACTTTCTTGTTCAGGTTTATTGAACAAAACACAGCGGCAAGTGACAACTTTTGCTGATTCACATTTTTTTAGTTAAGATGGTTTCATAAAACTAGAACAGATCCTGTTTTCACCCTTCACAATAAAACAATTCCGTTTCTTCAAATTAAAACCATATGGCACTTTTTTTACCGTACCTTGTAATTTGGAAATACGATTATAATTATGTTACAACTAATAATCAATGTTTAATGTCTAGAACTAAATAAGTCACAACAGTATCGGTATCGGGGGCCGATATGGGTATTTTGTAAGGATCGGATATTATCAGATTTGTTAAATATCGGGGAGTTTACATTCACAGAGTTCACACACTGGTTTAAGTACTGACTTTGTGGTCATTCAGTTATGTACCAGCTCTTCTTTTTGTTATACTGAATGTTGAGGCCAGCTTTTTGATAAATGTTCCTCTTTGATATTTATTTTATTTCAAGTTTATTTTAAAGGTGAAATATTCAATACTGATGTGATTCTTACATATGATCTAACTCAGTAGGTCTGTTAAGCAAAAGCCAAACAATATTTTTGATCATGTTATAATAAAAAAAAAAAATTGTTTTAAAGTAATACGGGTCTCAACCTTTTTAATGCTTTGAAAATATTAGAAAAAAATGAATCGTATCGGATCGGTATCGGCAAAACAGTATTTAAGAATATTGAAATCGGATCGGATCACAACAAATCTGGATCTGTACATCCCTACACTTAACCCTACTTTACCCGAAGTCCCCGCTGAAAAACCAAGGCTGAATGAATGAATGAACATGTCTTTTTAACTAACCCACACAAAATATACCTGTTTCCATGTATCACTGAGAAGAATGGGCCTCATTCACGAATAACTTCGTAAGAAACTACTCAACTTTCTTCTCAAGTTGTCCTTAAGTAGATTTCTAAGAAGTCCCCACGTCCAGGTGCTTGAGGAAACAGTATCCAAGTTGTATCACAATATCACAAATGGTCGTGCAGTTGTGTGTTGTTGCAGAGGGCAGCATCAGGCTAAACACCGCCGTCTCAGAGACATCAATATTCCATGACTCTGCAGAATACATGTGTTGTTGTGTTGTTAAATCAGGCTGGCTTGTGCTCTGTGTGTGTGTCCGCAGAGAGGAAGTGTGTGTTCCTCTGCTCTCGTATCTGCCGTGCTGAGCTGTCAGTCATCTCTGGACAATGCAGCGAGCTCCAGAGGTGAGTGATAGTCTACAAATAGCAGCGGTGGTATCAGCAGTGGATGCATTAGGAGAGAGGGATGTAGCAGAGCACAGGTGGAGGGGTGCAGCCATGGAAATATCAAGGTGGAAGTAGCAATAACAGGATTACAAATGCAGAAGTATCAGAATTAGTCATAGTAAATGTAAAATCATGTTGTAGAAACAAAGTGGTAGTAGCAACAGCCCCAATAGCAATGGCTTTTGACACTTTTACACTCATTAACGCAGTGGCACTATTTTAATGCTTTGTTAATTGCTTTTTTATGCTTTAGTAATTGATTTTTAATGCTTTTTACCGTTTTGATTGCATGAATGTATTGCTGTAAAGCACTTTGGTCGCCTTTGAATGTCAATTGATTGATTTATTGATTGATTTACAAAAATGAATTTAATCCTGGCGCAAATGAGACTGTGAAATATTATGGCATATTCTTGTGTAGAAAGTGTGTGTGTGTCTTGTAGCTGTGTGTCCAACAACACTGTGAGCCCAAGACACATTTCCCTTCGGGGCCAAAACAGATGAACCGTGAACCTTGCAGTACCACGTTCTGTTCTGTCCTTAAAGTGAAAATCTATTACATCCATCAACAATAAGATAAACTTTATTGATCTCACGATGGAGAAATGTGCAATAATTTACAATACAATTATGTGTGTTTGTTTTTCACTCAAATATAACATGGAAAGTAATCTCAACATTATATATTAATTTATTAATTTGAGCAGACATTCATAAGTATTTTACATGTTCATTATGTTGTTTCGTCTATTGTAGTGGAAAATTACTTATTTAGATTATTATTATTATAAAAATACAGAGGGAGTTTGGCATCGGAGGGTAGATGTGTGGGATAATCTCTTGTCTTCCCTCCCTTCCTCTCACCCCTCCCCTCCCACCCCTACCTTGTTGAAATCAGTTCTTTGTAGAAGCTTGAATTGCTTCTTTATACAACAATTATGTATGGCCTTCATGACTTACTGATAAATCACAAGATACACTTGGTTACCTTGAATCATTACAAGGATGTTGTCATAGTGTGGATTTGTTGTTATTTTATACTTTGTTCTATGTTCTCTGTGGGTTGGTTTTAAGTTTGTAAAAGTATACCCTGTGCTTCTCTCCTCTGGTTGCTGGTCCATTGCATTGTCTCTGTCCTTGTCTTTGTTCCTGGTTCCTGGGTTCAGTTTGGATTTGGATTTTGTTTTTAACTTGGACATTATTTTATATCTTTGTCATTAAATCATTATTATGCATGTTTGTATTTTGGGTCCTTTCTCTCACCACACTTGACAGGTGTATTATTTTGAGGTTCATTTGGTTGATGTGTATCTTTACATTTTGGTTTAGATTTGACCAAAACTGGACCAAATATTGTTGTATATTTACCTTCTAATGATGTGTTGGGTTAAAATTTTAGAATGAATTCAATGTTGGTTGTAATCCTGAGAAGATAGATTATGTATAACCATGAGCCTGAGTTTGACATGCCTGAACTAAAGACACCGTTGTGTGGATGGATGATTCACAAAATGTTACATAAAAAACGTGAAATAAACAAAAAGGTTAGGTACCACAGCTTTAAGCAACAGCAGCATAAGAACATGCATTTTCTCACAGCAATCGGGGATCCTACGGACAGTCTATCAAGGCCAGTGTTCATCTCCTATGGACACACATTAATTGATAATGAAATGTGAATGAAGCGTGTGTAAGAGTCGCTCCTCTGACCATATGTAACATCAGTCTTCGTTAGCTCGCTTTATAGGCTGTAATTACCTTTCTCAACCCTGCCTTGAACATTTCAGCCCAATTAATTACAACACGATTTAAACAGCGACCTTCAGGAGCCAGTGACCCCCATACACATAATAGAGACGCACTTAATGCCACAAGGATCCAGGTTTTTGAGCTGCACATCTGAAAGCTGTGCATCCATCTGGTGAGTGAAGTCACATTTCTCAAGTCTGTACGTTTGTGATTGCGGTACAAGGATTTGGAAACATCTTGAAGGGACTTTAATGACATTTGGTTTTTTTTTTCAGTTCAAGTCTGTCTCCAAGTGGGTCATTGGCCGCGAGGGGCAGGGGCCGCGGGAGGTCATAAAAAAAATAATAATAATATAATTATTTATTGTTAAATATAAATGTTTTGTTTGTAATACATTATTTGACTTGAATACCATGTAAATTTTTGTATTACAATGTTTGTAGCAGAGGCTATTTCCCCAAAATAAAAAAACCAGAAGAGCTATTCTTAATGTATTTTGGGGCCACGCAGACCCGTTTTTAAGGGGGCCTCGGTGTTACTTTGGAATGGCTGCCCTTAAATTCCGGACTGTAAGCCGTGACATTGCTGCGTGCTTCCTTTTTCTTTTTCTTTTCTGGCGCCAAAAACATTGTATGATATGTCAATCAGTCATTTGTACTGAAAAAACTTTGATCATTTGTGCATTACCAATACAAACGTACATCAAAAGGTTACAGGCCCAGTGAGAAAATAGCATTTGTAATATGTATTTATTTGTTAGCGGATGTTGCTACTTATCTTTCTGCTTTGGAAGATTAAGAACATTTGGTCAATGACACACTTTAAGATTTCAGCAACGTTTTTCAATATTATAACGTGGGACATGTGCAGCTTATAATCAGGTGCGGCTTGTAATCCGAAAAATACAGTAATGTATGTCATTGCCCTGTTTCCAACGGTCCTACCACTCTAAGTAGAGTAGAGTAGAGTAGAGTAGAGTAGAGTAGAGTAGAGTAGAGTAGAGTAGAGTAGGGCAGGGTAGGGTAGGGTAGGGTAGGGTAGAGTAGAGTAGGGTATCGTAGGGTATAGTAGAGTAGGGTAGGGTAGAGTAGACTAGGGTAGGGTAGAGTAGAGTAGACTAGGGTAGGGTAGAGTTGGGTAGATTAGAGTAGAGTAGGGTAGGGTAGGGTAGAGTAGAGTAGACTAGGGTAGGGTAGGGTGGAGTAGAGTAGACTAGGGTAGTGTAGAGTAGAGTAGAGTAGACTAGGGTAGGGTAGAGTAGAGTAGAGTAGAGTAGCGTAGAGTAGAGTAGAGTAGGGTAGGGTAGGGTAGGGTAGGGTAGGATAGAGCAGACTAGTGTAGGGTAGGGTAGAGTAGAGTAGAGTAGAGTAGAGTAGAGTAGGCTAGAATGTCCTCAAGCTGTGTCATTATCTCTTCTACAAATGTTACAACATTGTTCCCAATCCAAAACAGACCTGGAGATGTTTTTAGATCCATCCATGCTAATATCAGACACATCTGGCACAGACATATAGCTCCGCCCCTTCTGCCAGTGTGATGTCACCTGCACGCAAAGTCCAGATCTAATCAGCCGGTTTAGCCTACGCAGACGCTACTCGAGAATATCCCAGAGACACAGCCGAACCATCTCATTCTGGACAAACAAATTAAATTAAATGCCAAGTTTTCTCCCCAAAGTTTTAGCGTCTTTTTTTCTTGTTTTTTGTTGTTGAGTGTTTTCCATTCGCTGGCAGCCTGAAATTCACCACAATTGCCTCTTTGGGAGAGTGACAGCAGCTTTACTCTGCCGCCTCTTCATGAAATCAGTGGAGCAGAGGTAATAGTATGCTCCAAATGTCAGGTGT